CCCGTTCGTGAATTCCGCCCCTTCCTGCCTGCCGCCGCGCCGGAACTGACGGCTCCCGCAGCCAATGGAAAGGACGGAAACGGATTGAGAGATTCGCCAATCGGCGTTGGGGGGCGGGAGCGTGGCGGCACGAAGGGGCTGCTGGGAGATGTAGTCAAGGAGGGGGAGTGATGGCCGCCGGCTCCCTGTCCCCAAACGTAGGGGTTAAAGCCCCCTGAGCTCGGACCGCCCCACAGCGGAGAGGATGGCGAAGGATCTGGAGGGGAAGCCGTTAAGGCCTACACTGAGATGGCTCAGTTTGTCCAGCCTGGAGAAGAGGGGGCTGAGGGCAGAGCATATCAGGGTCTGGGGCTTCCCTGTCCCTGGAAGGGTCCTGTCCCACCCCTGCCATGGCAGGGACACCTCCCACTGTCCCAGGCTGCTCCCCGGACACTGCCTGGCCCAGCCTGGCCTCGGGCACTGCCAGGGATCCGGGAGCAGCCACAGCTTCTTGGGCACCCTGTGCTGGGGGCTCCCCACCCTCAGAGAGAGCAATTCCTGCCCAAAATCTAATCTCAACTTACACTTCACCATCTTAAGGCTGTTCCTCCTTGTCCTGTCACTCCAGGCCCTTTTAAACAATCCCTTTCCTCTTCCTTGGCTCCTCCAGGAAAGCTGCAATGAGTTCGCCCCGAAGCTTTTCCACAGCCAGTGCTGTCAGCTCGGGGCAGAGGAGCTGGGCGCTCCCATCCTCCGGTGCCTCCCCAGGACCGGCTGTGGCTCCCTGACCTCTCCACAGCCAGCCAAACTGCACAAAAACTCACAGACGCGGAGTGTGTGACAACCTGCTCATCCAGCAGCACCCAGCCCGGGTTTGTTTGGAAAATAAAAGTGCCAGAAGGAGTCAGGGAAGAGCCAGGGGGTGGCAGTGTTTGCAAAATCCTTCCCTGCTCCTTGTCCTCCCCGCGGCCACCTGCCCTGGGGACACTGAGCACAAGCAAGGCTGCCGTCCCCTCCAGTCCCAGTTATCTTAATGAACCCTCACAGAAAGAGGATGTGCGTAAAAGAAATCAAAACTTTCCAATTCACCTCCCTATAATTTATTTCCACAATTAAATATTCCCGAAGTCTGCTCATAAAGTGTAATGAATACTTTAAATTTTATTTTGGAACTTAATTCCCTGGCTCCCAGATAATCCCAGCTGCATGGCAGAAGAAAATTGCTACTTGATTATTCCAAAAGAAGGAGGAAAAGCCCCTTAAATCAGAGACATCAGGTGGAAGCCTGAGGACTCTTCCTTGCACCTCCAGCCTCATAAATGACAGCTGCAATGATTTGCCTCCACCTTGCAACTCATTAACCTATTCAGCTGTTGTCAAAGTTCTTTACAGAAGGTAATTGTTAACTGTTGCCTCCGCACCAGTCCAGACTCTATAATTAAACAAATAATAACCGGGATCCATCCTCACAAAAGGGTTTTATCTTCTTTTCTCAGATGCCATCTCCATGGGGATCCAAAGCTCCACGCAGAAAATGAGGCAGGCTTCAGATGCCCTTGACATGGAAGTTTTTCTCGCTAATGGAGAGAAAATTGGGCCACAGGAGCTTGATTTTTTTCTCAAGCTGGTGACAGGAATGACAGGGCTGGAGCCAAGGAGGACTTGTTGGTTCTGTCTGTCAGACCTGGAGTTTCCTGATGCAGTCTCAAAGTTGGGGAATGTGAAGAAGGCGTTCCCGCAGCAATGCAGCTCCTGCAGGATAACCACACCTTGGAGAGTATCCTTGTGGAACAGGACTGTGGCCTTTCAGAACCTTTCAGGAAAGGTACAGGGAGCAAGGAATAAATCTGCCTGAGAGCTTGCCCTTTTTACAATGTAAAAGGAAAAAAAAAAATTGAGTCTTACAAAAGACATTTTTAACACTTCCAATAAAAACCTGTCTCCTTTTCTATCCTCAGGCTATACTACACAGAAAAAAAAAGAAAATTCAGTGTAAAACCCCCAAAACATGCATATAAAGTTCAGTTTCACACCCTGTGCCACAGTTGGGATATCCCAAGGTGCAAATGCAATTTCACAGACACAGATCTTACTCTGCAAGTGGTTTGTCCTGCAGACACCTGGAGCTGCACTAGGATTCGTTCGCAGGTTAAAATGGTCAGGCCAGAGCAATTTCCTCTTGGCCAAGAATCTGCACAAACCAAAATCGTTTGCAGAGCTCAAGAGGCTGACAGGCCCTGGTCCAACCAGGACAAGCAAAGGAAGCGCTACCAAAGCCAGCAGGCCTTCCCTGGATGCTGCAAACACCCAGCAGCCCTGCCCCAGCACAGCTCTGCCTGATCCAGGCACAAGGCGGGAGAAAAACCTGACCCAGTTCCTTCACAGGAACATCGTACCTCTTCTAGCTCCTAGGAACTTTTTCTGAAAGCAAAGCAGCCCCTGTGTTTTAGTCTCAGGGAGTCTCCCACTGCCAGAGCACAGTCCTGCCTCAACCCAAACATCACCACCTGCATCGCACCGGCTCAGGCTTCTCACCCAGATATGACTAAGCCCTTTCAGAATGAGAAACGCTCAGGACTTCTTGCTTAATTGCTAAAACAGATTAATTTGCCTATCCAGCACATAGCCGAGAGGAATTGACACACCTAGCGGGTTCCTGCTGAGGCTGATGATCTGCTTTAATTGATGGGTCACGTTTGGGGGTGATTTTCCACTGCGTAGCCGCCACAGGGCTGCTGGGCTCCCCTCCTGCCCTCCATGTTCCCTGCAGCCTTCTGACCACCAGCGCTTTGAGAGGCTTAAATCAGGAATGTAAGTGATGCAAACCAGCAAACGTCACCTCCAAAGCTGCCACATGTCATGGAAAGGGCCCATGCCTTTTCCACATGCAGTCCTCTCAAGAATTAGGGGCTGCAATCTTTACCAAAAGGCCCCTTGGCTCCTAAAGTTCAGGCAGTAAACCAGGTCAAACCTCGTTTGGATTGTTCTGGTCACACACATGTGACAGGGTGTTGGAGAGGAGCCAAGAAATCAGGGTGGCTGAGCCCTCAGTGCCAAGCAACCCCCCCACGCTACTCCAGTGGTTTTATTGGAGCCTTATCAGATTTCCTGGTGACTCAGAGAAAGCGGTCACCGGGGAGAAGGGCACGGCCACAGCAGCAAACAGCGATGGGGCTACAGCTCCAGCACGGTCCCGAACAGCAGCCACCCTCCTTCCCCCCGACCCCAGAGCTCTCCCACCCCACAGCGAGGGCCACCAGAGCAGGGCTGTGCCTCTGCAAGGAGCAAACACGGAGGAGGCGGTGGCTGCTCAGCTGCTGCCAAGAGCCCAGGGCGCTCTGCCAGTCCCCCGTGCCCTGGCTGGGTCCCCTCAGGGTGGCTGGTGTCCCTGGCGCCCCTCTGCTCCCCTCCAGCAGCAGCCAGCCCCTCACGGAGCCCGTTCTCCTCCTTTCCTCCGGCACCCCCTGTCCTCGCTTTGGGGCCCTTTCATTCCCGCACATCTCCCCTCTCTCCTTCCTGCGTTTCCCCCCGTGCCAGCCTCACACGAGCACCCTCTGCCCCTGCACCCCCTT